GTGCAGCCCCTCTTACCTGGCTCCCACGGAGTCCCTCCAGGCACAGAGCTGGGGCCACACAGGGCCCTATGTCTCCCCAAAGGGCCCCACCCCACAGGACAAGATGACGCCTGCACAGTTGGAGGGGGACAGTGAGGATCTCGGCTCCAGGAGGGGTGGGTGCTGGGGAGGGGCCGAGACAGACCCCACTAGCTGACCAGGACACCCCAGCACTTCACAGACCCTCTGAGACCCAGCACGGGGAGGCTGAGGCTGAGGCCTAGCAGACACTGGAAGGGACAACTGGTGGTGGCTGTCCCCACCTGTACCCAAGGCTCTGCTGAAGGATCTAGGGTAGCAACACCCCAAAATGGGCCAGGACCCATGGAACCCACTTCTCCCCCAGAGGAGGCCCAGCAGGAGGAAAACACAGCCATTTCTGGGGTGGGGCATTGTCTAAAGCATAGAAAAAAGCACAAACAACATGTTTCCCAGAGACAACCAACTGTCAGAACAAAACACCAATACGAAATATGTTGGCACTATTCATCAGAGAATTTGAGATATTTCTGATTGGTACATTAGAGACTATAGTGGCAAAAGTAAACAACACACAGATTAGATGAGTACTTCTAGTAGAGAGACAAAAACTACCAAAAAGCTAATTGCACCTGCTATAAACAAAAAACAACAGAAAAGAAGTAACAGAAGCACAGCATGACTTAGGTGGGCACAGCTGTCTCCACACAGCCGAGGAGACAGTCGATAGCCACAGTCCAGACTGGAGCAGAAAGAGCAAAGACAAAGAACAGGTCATACTCAGGCCAGGAAACACACTGAATGCATCCCCGGATTCCCAGAGAAAGAGGGAACAGGGAGGATGAGATCGTTGAGTGACCAATGACCTAGACTCTTGCAAAGTCAATGACACCAGACCCATCTCAGCACAGCACAGACAGCACCAAGCAGAATAAGCACCAAACAAACAGAACACAGTCCACGTGTTAAATTCGCATCATCCACAAACTGCTGATAACAAAAGCCTGAGAGAAACCCCAAGAAACCAGAAGGGACAGATAGGAGGCATTGGGGCCAAAGCTGTACCTCAGCAGCCGGTGCCTCAGTGAAAATCAACTAAAATTTGACACCCAGTAAAAATGGCTTTTGAAAATGAAGAAACAGATTTCATTCCTTTTTATTAGTACAAGGTTCTGGTACATAATGAATACATTCATCTTATATATAGAATCGTAGTTCCATTTTCTTCCTCTCCCTGCTTGCCTTCCCCATCCATCCGTAGACCCCCTGCTTGCCAGGGAGAGGTCGACCTCCCTGAAGGAACAGGGTTCCTTAATGCAATAACATGGCAGGAATTTATTGCCAGCATATCTACTTTATTTAAATGCTTAAGTTTTTCAGGGAAAAGGACTATACCAGAAAACTTAGATCTATACAAAAAAAGGAAAAGCATAGGAACTGGAAGACATGGAGGTGAAATGAAATTAATTTTTCTACTTCTAATTGCTTGAAACAATCACTGTCCAAAGCAAAAGTGACAAGGCATTGTCTGCAGCACATATGAAGATAAAATGCACGGGAAAGCACACAGTGGGGACAGCACAGAGTGGGGACAGCACAGAGTGGGGACAGCACAGAGTGGGGACAGCACACAGTGGGGACAGCACACAGTGGGGACAGCACACAGTGGGGAGGAGGGGTTGGAAGTGCTGCGCTTTCTCACACTGCGAGTAAGCACGCACTGTTGTTCAGGGATAAAACCCTAAACAAGGCACTGTCCGTGCCAGGGCACTACTGAAAACTTGTAAAAAGAATTCTAAGTCGTAAGTCCACAGAAGACATAAAACAGAACCATAGAAATGTTCAGTCTACTCACAAGAAGACCAAACAGGAGAGACTAAATCCTTGACTCTGGAGCCCTTGCCTTTCTTATTCTGCAGGCCCAGCCTGATCCTCCAAGGCTCCACTCCTCCCCGGGCAGGGGGCAGTGAGGACCCACAGGAGCTCCTCCTGTGTCCCCAGATGCCCCATGCGTGGCACAGGTTACATGGTGTTTTCAACTTTCAAAGTGTCACTCCTCCAGACAGTAGGATCCCCAGGACTCTCCCTCTCTTGCAGACCCTGAGGAAGGCACACACAGACCTCAGGTGAGGCAGAGCTTGTCTCGCACTGGTCATGGGCTAACGTGGGTCCTCCAAGGCACTTGTCTCTGTTATTCTCAATAAATCCTTCCCAGAAAGCTACATCCCTAGTTGGGACACCAGCATGACCCTGTGCCTGGCAGACTCACATTCATTTTGGTATGTCACCTCTGCAGGGACCATGCGGTGGTTGGGAGGGCCATCTGTTCTGCAGAGCGCAGCCTGGCAGATGGGGATTCAGTTCTGAATGCCAGTGCCAAGCGGGAGAATCAGAACCAGAACCAGAATCAAGGCTGCTCAGGCTCTGGGTGTCCAAGGTTTCCAAGGGAAAATCACTTCAACTAGTGGAATCATCTTTGGCCACAATACTTGGACTGCTCCTTGTGTCCTCCTGAGCACTTAAGTATGAATTTAGAACTCACAAGGCCACTGGCCATCTGCCGTGTTATTCTGAACATCCCCAACAATTCAATGTTTGAGTGGACAGTGACCATAGACCTCAGCCACTTCATTCACCAGATCCAGTACTGTGTGACTTCTGGCTCTTCTCCAAATTCAAACTGATAACTAAAGGTAAATATTTAAAATTGAGTAAGGACCAAAATGTACAATAGGTATTGTGAAAGAGGAAGAAATTTTTCAGATGGAGAGGGGAACAAGGGAGAGGGGAAAGGGAAAGGAAAGAAGGGAAAAGTTAAAAAAAGAGAGAAAAGAAGGAAAATATGCAAACAAAGCTTCTGTAAATGGGAAGGGAAGGTTGAAAGGAGGGTGGGGGAATGGGAAAAGAATAAATTATATCAGAGGTATAAATTCTCATGATGAATGTGATCATTATGTATATCTGCATGTACCAATACAATCTGATTTTTTAAAAATTAATAAATAAAATTGATCCAGGACATCAAGGCAGTCACAGCAGTGCAACTAGACACTCGTGAAAGATGACTCCCAGAACGGCCTCAGAAAGTGGCAACAACAGGGTAAGTGCGTTCAAAGTGAGGAAGAGCGTTCTGGCGGGGGGAGGATTCAGGGTGATGTGTCCTTTACTATGATAAATTTCTTACAAATACTCGCCGCATTTTTTATTACATGCAATAGAAGAGGGCCAAAAAGAGGGACGAATATAAGTAAGACGGACTCTGAAAGCTAAAAACCTGCAAGTAACATCAATTTTTTTTTTTTTTTTGGTACTGGGAATCGAACTCAGGACCTTGTGCTTGCCAGGCAGGCGCTTGTGCTACTGAGCTATATCCCCGGCCAGTAAGATCAATCTTGACTATTTTAAACCAGTGACTGAGCAGGTTGCAAAGGTGAAACAGCCCCAAGGATGGTGGTATGAATTGGATCTGGGATGTCCCCAAGCCCCATGTGTTTGGAAGGTGACTGGATCATGGGGTCATGAGACACATCACAGTCCACTTTCACAGCTAACTTGCCATTGGGTAGAGGCAGTCACTGGGCCGTGACCTAGGAGGGTGTGTCTCCCTCTCCCAGCTCCTCCCTACTCTGCTTCTTGGCTGCCCTGATGTGCCCAGCTTACACCCTGGTCTTTCTATTGTGCCTTCCCGCCATGGAACCAGCTGACCAGGAACTGACTCCTCTGAAACCACAAGCCCTAATAACCTCTCCCTCTTTCCTTGGCAGGGACTGGGCATTGTGTCTTAGCAACTGGAAAGTAACTAAGACAGATGGCATCAGCAGGAAGCACAAGGGGAAGATGAGAACCCTGGGCCTCTGTGACAGGTGGCAAAGTGACTGCTGCACCCCAGGCCTGCAGCAGATCCAGGTGGACACATGGGCACCACCTTCCTGACCACATGCTTCATTTTGCCGGTTTCTTCACCCCATAGGACCGCAGGGTTGTCCCTGCCTCTGGGGATCCAGTGACCAGCAGGACAGGATGAAACTCAGACTCTCCTAGTGGACAGAAGCAAACCAACTGTCACCACCACACACTGGTCTTCAGCAAGACCTCAACAGATCAGTGTGCCCTGTATATGTGTACATGTGCATCACGCACGCCAGACAGAGACCACACCCCGTGGGATGGTGCGATGGAGGGAGGCCACCGTCTACGCCATTCTGGCTCAGTAGTTTTCATAGAAATACATGGGTTTTGATAGCTTTGAACCAATATAAAGAGAAAGGAAACAGACTGGGGGTATGGGATAGACTATGAGAGCCAGAGCACGCTAGCCCCAGGGTGAGGGCTGCATCCCTGAGTCAGTCAGTCTCTCAGTGTTGGGTGAGGCCTGGCTGGAGCTTCCAAGGGCCAGAGATGCTCCAGCTGTGTCTGCACAAGAGAAGCTCTTCTGTGACCACCAGATGTAAACGTGGCCTTGCATTCCTCAAAGATCTCTCAGCAGGGAGACGAGGTGGGAACTGCCCTCCTCTGCTCCTGCTGAGGTTTGTGTCCCCTTAAAAGTCACAGATTGGGACTGGAAAACCCCGAGGCAGTGGTGGTATAAGATGGGCCTTGCAGAAGGCAGAGCCCTCAAGGGTGTTTCTGCCCTTGTGTCCCCACCTCCTGCTCATGAGGACCCAGCAGTGCAGTGCTCCCCACTCCTCGTGTTCTGGCCTCACCAGAACCCTAGTCTTAAGCTTCACAGTCTCAAGAACATGAGCAAACAACTCTGGCCTTTATAATTCGCCTCTCTGAGGCATTTTCTACAGCAGCACCGATGGCCCAAGGCACTGTCCAGCCCCACTTCTGAGACACAAGACTCAAGAGTACTTACTCATACTACGCCTACACAAAGACAACACTAAAGCATAACACCGTGTCTGCCTCAGCCCTGTGGATGACATTCAGGTACTCAATGCTCAAGACAAGCTCTAAGTAAGCACAATGGCAAGGTCATGTCAGTGGAGTAGTTCCCTTTAATCATCATTGTATGCATGAATAAGAAAATAGTCCAGGAAAATACATTTTCATGGTGGGTTGTTTAAATCTAATAAAAATGTGACGATATTTTAAAGCCCTTCTAAAAATAACCAGAAATACCCTCAGAAAAGAGCATACTGGACATGACTCGGTATTTCTCCTGAAGTTTAGTATGTATAAAAATGTTCATTTATTTCCATTCAAAAATAATGACTGGCAATACTGAAGTAATCTTCTGTAAAAGAAATTATGTACAGGACATGCATATGCTATATACAGAGTACAGTGCACACAGATGTAAGACTGACTCTCAGGGATACACAAGTTCCGCCCTCCCGATATGCCCGTAGCCTCCACGGCCTCGCTCCAGAGGAGCCTCCTGCAGGAACAGGCGCAGCCACTGGCTCTCCTCCGCCTGGGTGGCTGCCCACCTCTTCTTCAGGTACTGCACGTCCACGGTGCCTGAGGCCCTGGCCAGCACCAGGGCCAGGAAGCTGCCGCTGGGCCTCTCCGGCTCCCCCAGGACAGTCATGGCCACCAGCCTGTAGGTGAGAGGGGACACGCATGGGACTCTCATGGGTCTGAATCTTCCAAATTGTCTCCTCCGATTGAGGAAAACAAGAGAATTTCTAAAAATACCAATAGTCAAGCTGAAAAGACAGACTAGAAACAAAGGTATGGAAATTGATAGGAAGTGCTTTGCAAACCTACGTCTGCATCTTAGAGGTACGCAGACAGACTGCTTGTGAAGGTGGCTGAGAAGAACGCACTGCCACACACTGGACGGTGGCCTCACCTGCTGCTTTTCCCTCCCTCCCCACTCAGGAGTGAACAGCCCTCAGTGGCTCCCCTCCCTCTTCGGCACCCCACCCCATGCCAGGCCATGCCCACGCTCTCCACCAACCATGCCTGTGCCTATGGCCCCATCCGACCTCACTTCCTCCCCTCAGCCTTCACCTGACCCCACCTCCATCCTCCGTGCCTTTCCCCTGCCAGAGGTGTCCAGTCCACCCAGACGGCCTCCTGTTTCCACCCTCCTCTCCTGGACTGGCCCAGCCCAGCTCACCACCTGTCTTGTGAGGCTCAGCTGGGGTCATCAGGCCCAGAGACCCCCTAGGACTCCAAAGCCTCACGTAGACCCTGGCATCCAGAGAACTTCTTGGGGGGCCAGCAGTCACAGGCAGAGTCCCCAAGGGTGCTGTCTGCCCTCAGGTGTCCTGTAGATGTGTCCTGTGCCCAAGTGGCCCTGGCACCATGGGACCACATGAGTCCCACATACAGTACTGCAGGCAGAGCTGCAGGGACCTGCTGGTGCCACAGCTTGAAGACAGAACAACTAAAGGGCTCATGACCCTGGCACCATCAGGAAGAGCTGCATGGCCTCAGGGGAGGGGAATGTGGGCCTGAAGACTCCAAGGAGCAGGACAGGAAACAGCGCCTCCCTGTCCTCAACTCAGCACTGAGCACCTCTGAAGAACGCAGGTGAGTCTAACGGCTGCAGCCTAGAAGGGCGTCCATGGAGACGAACCCTGAAGGCTTCCCTGGCATCGGGACTGGAGGGCACGGATGAGATGCAGTTCATGGATGAGACATCATTTCAAACAAACATGGATACCCCGGTTAGAACTGTTCCTGGGCAAGCAGAGCATGGTGGCCAAGCCTGTAGTCCCAGCACTCAGGAGGCTGAGGCAGGAGGATTGCTGTGAGTTCAAGGCTAGCCTGGGCTACATAGCGAGACCCTATCTCAAAAAGAAAAAAAAGGAACTGTCCCTGGACAAGAGGCAGGGTGGACAGAACCAGGCAAAGAGGGCAGAAGACCCACATCCACCGCACAGGCACCAGCAGCTCCTGGGCATCCTCCAGGCAGGGCTGCAGGCTATGGTCAGACCCGAGGGGACAGGACTGCAGGCACCACAGCACGTTGGAGTCTGGCTCTGGGAGCTGTCAGTCCTGCTTGAGTCTGACCTGCACTCCTGCCTCCTCATTCATGTCCTCCTTTTCGGCTCTTTACAGCTATGAAGAAATACTTTAGCACAAACATTACGTCTTTAACTCAAGCACTTGCACAGGAGGAGCTCAGGGAAAGGAATGCTTAGATTGCCCTGGGGCTGTCCTGTGACATTCTCACATGCATGTGCTCTAACTCTAACTCACTCTAGGCTCCTCCTGTATCCTGGTCATCCACCCCCCCCCTCCCCTCCCCCATACCAGCCCCAGGGACAGTCAGGGGTCAGTAAATACTGTGCTGCTTAACAAATGACAGACTCACAGACTTTCTGGAGCCACAAGCTGTGGGTACATTATGTGTTCACATGTGAATCATAGTCCAGATTTTTTATGATTCTTGAGGTTTTTTTTTAAGACAAGGCCTTGCTAAATTGCTGAGGCTGCCTCAAACTTGCCATCCTCCTGCCTCAGTCTCCTGAATAGCTGGAATTATAGGCATACCTGGCTCCTGATGAATTTTTTAATAATTAGGATAATGTCAATATACCTAGTACTCAAACTAAATAAATTCAATTCTTAACACGCTGCTAGGTATTATTCGTATACCCCTTGCACTCCGCCACGCTGTCACCTGTCTTTGGCCACTTCTACCCTCCTCTTTACAAAAGGGCAGTGAGATTCCTTCCCCAGCTATCACAAACCTTCACAGTAGGAGAATCTGACACAAAAGGTAGAATTTCAAGAAAAAGTGAGGTGATTGGACCATCTGCCCCCCAGACCTGTCCTGGTTTTACTCACCTGTCTGGGGAGATGGGCTGTGTGGCCACAGGGCCCAGGTCGCTCTGCAACAGGTCCCACACATACACGGTGGACCCAGCATCCTGCACCAGGAACACAGCTGGCCGTGTGGGGGACCACTGCAGGCCGGTGATGGCGTGCCCCCTGGTGCTGCTGTTCCACTGTGCCAGTGGCCACTCGGAGCTCATCTGGTGTAGCCGGAGGCAGCCATCTGAGCAGCCAGCCTGTGTGACAGGGACAACCATTAGCTCCCCTCTCTGTAACTGAAGCAGAGCAGCCAGGGGCTGTTTCCAGAGCATTTGCTTCTGCAGTTTGTACAGCACATTGTATTGTTTTTTGACACAAAACTGCGTCCTCATGAGTTGCCAAGCTGAGCACCTGTCAAGTTCTGATGCGGAAGGACTCCCCACCCTGAGAATCAGCACAGTGGTGAAGCCATAAGCAGTGTTCGTTTTAATAGAACTGAGCCCCACCAATGCAAGTGAAACTCATGAAGTTGGCTCCATGGAAGTAAACAAGTCACCTTTCTAAAAAATTGCATTGATAATGTGGTTATATATTTCTGTTGGACTGAAACTTTCAGAAAACAAAATCTTAGTGGGTTTAGTAAAAGACCAACTGTTTATAAAGAGAAAAACAATCTTTCACATACTCAAAAGTAAAAATAAAAAAGAAAGAAAATGAGAATGGGAGTAAAAACAAAATATAAAAAGAAACTTTTTGGTTTTTTGAGGCTGGCCTGAGTCTCACTATGCAGTCCAGGTTGGCCTTGAACTCGAGATGATGCTCCTGCCTCAGCCTCCTGAGTGCTGGGATTATAGACGTGTACCACCATACCCAACTAGAAACAAATTTTAAAGCCCAGCATGCCCTTAAAGGGTTAATGGCCACCAGGCAGGAATAGGAAGGCACTCAGGACTGGGTTAGGCACCACAGAGCTGCCTGACATTTAACATTCACCTGTTAGATTCTAAATAATCAGTAATTGAACAAAGAATTCCTTAAGAGAATCAAATTCCTGAGTTAATGTTTTAATTTCTTTGTTATTTAAACCTCATATTTTCTCTTTTAGACCCCTGAAACTTAATATATGATTAAGTTGTAGCCCTATAAATTATCAACTTTCAAGACTTTCCCCCCAAAAAAAAGACTTTCCAATGGACCAGTGTGTCCTGCTGCCCAAATAGGCAGATAATGCCACAGAAAAGAACTGGGGCTGTAAGAAGCCCTTTCTTACCAAGAATATCGGTTCTCCAAATGGTGAGAAGTCGATCACATTAACCTTTACTGCTCCTAACGCGCACTGCTGAGGTTTGAAGGATTTGGGAGATACTTTCAAGTCCTGCCTTGTGCCATGAGTTATAAGACCCTAGTAATAGAAAGACCAAGAAAGACCAAAGGCAAGTATTAGGTATGAGGCCGGGCAAAGATGTTATTCTTGAAACAGTGGGAATAACACTATAACAAAGCAGCAGTAAGTTCATCTTAGACAAAGACATGTGTCAGGTACCTCTGGGAGAGAACAAGGGTGAGGAACATAAAGAAATGTAAAACATTACTCACCACATCTGTGCCAACGATAAAGTGACTAGGGTCTGAAGGCAGAAATTTGATGTTCAGGGTTTGTGTGGGACCCCCAAACTCACTACCTTTATGAGATAGACTGAAAAAGAAAGCAGAGATGAGCACACGTTTGCTGTGAAAGCTTGATGGTACACTCACTTGACTGAACATTCGCTTGGTCCTATGCGTATCACAAGATAAAGACAAGGCCACTTCAACATCCTGTGATTTAACCACTCTGTCTCCTATTGCCTTTTTTCCCTGCTGGTGTGGCTTGATAACTGCTGCAGGTAATCCTGCTCACTAATTCTTTCCTCAGCTGTGTCTAATCTGCTATTTAACTGCTTAATAAATAATAGCTTCATCTCTGACGGGGTTTTTAGATTGCACAGCAGCTCCAAGTTCTTTGTGTGTTAGGTGTTTCTTTATGCATGAACACATCTCTGCAGATTGCTTGTGGGAGCCCTGTGAGCCCCAGCTTGTGAAGTATTCCTCCCTAAAGGCAGTGTCCCTGTGCCCACTGCTGTCCGGGACCCCGCACCTCTCTGCCCGCCATGCGCAGGTCCACAGGCCATGGGGCTGTCACACACCCCCTAGCTGCAGTGAGCTCTCCTGTTGCTCACATTGAGGGGCATCAAGTTCCATCTCCTGGACCCCAGCAAGGCCAGCACTTCCTGATCCTGTCCAGAGCTCCAGCCACAGGCACAAGGGGAAGGCTTGTGATGGCGCAGGCCTGACGTCTGCCTCCAGCCTGTCACACAACAGCTCTGAAGCTTATATCGCTAACTTGAGTCTGTCCTTGCTCCTGGCATTTAGAGGTTTTCCTTTCTTCTTAACAATCACATTCAGCTTGAGTGTCATTTTTCCTTTACGCAGCACACATCCTTGCCAGGAGAGAGGAGCCCAGTTACTCCAGCAGCCCTTCTGCCCAGTCAGAAGTCAGGGTCTGGCCATTCTCAGCTCTTCTCCTAGCTCCTCTGCTCTCTCCCACGCATGGGACTGTAATGTCCCCATCAGCAGATGAGGGAGTCTAGACCTCTCTGAGGTCCTGCTATGGTGACAAATGCCTCCTGGATGCCTCAGCTTCAAACCTGAGGCCATCCTAACCTGGACACCTGCCCCACCTTCCTCCAGAACACCCTTCTTCTTGCAGAAAGGAGACACCACTAAGGGTCTGGGGAAGACAGGCATCAGATACTTGAGATGCTTTCCTTCTCCAAGTACACATTCACACCCTGGAGAAATTTATAAAGTAAATATAACACAAGGCATGAGTGAGAAGGGTCATAGCACAGATAAAAATAGTCCTAAAGAAGCTCAGCAAGGGAACGGTGGGGCCCATGGGTCTGTGATTGCAGAAACCACGTGCCTTAGGCTCTGCAGTATATTTGATGATTTGTTAAAACTAAATGATTTGCTTTTCAAATTATATGTAAATCAACCAAAGTTGATTTAAAATCAGATGTAAATTCATTAACACAAACCAGAGGTATTCTGTGTGAGGAGGAGGAACTGGGCTCAGAGACTACTGTTTAAGTTTTTGAGGGGTAATTCACACGTTAATAGCCCTGAGTTAAGGACAAGGAACGATATCTTTGGGAATAAGTCAATATGGAACATAAAAATAGCACAAATAATATTTACACATTTACTAAGAATTTGTATGTCACGTTAAGTTATATGCATCAATTTCTAAATAAAACTTTCTATCGGTGTTTCTGGTTCCTGAAACTTCATCTAAGTTTAACTTCAGGATTCCATTAGAACAAGATGAAAAACAGTCAAAGAGATCAACTGAAAAGACAGGAAGCATTTTTTTATCAAAAACTATCAGTTGTATATGGGAAGATGTATCTATTACACTGACTTACTAATAAATAAATTAAATGGCAAAGGGGCTGAGGATTTAGCTCAGCGGCACAGCGCTTGCCTGGCAAGCACAAGGTCGTGAGTTCAATTCCCAGTACAGGAAAAAAATAAATAAATTAATTAAATGGCAAAGGTGGAATTGAGGAAATGCGTCTTGGTCACACACACTGACACACTCGTTGCACTTGCCATCACCCAGGTCCTGTCGCTTCTGTAGGGAGCAGGTCTTTGAGAGTGGGAGGGCGTCTCACCTGCCACCCAAGTGGATCACAGCACTGTGCACCAACTTAATCCTCCCTCCAGGGATGAGGCCTGGAAACAGACACGCAGAATAAAAGCACCTCTTAATGAATGAAATCAAAATTGTTCATGGTGGGCTTGTGTCCAGATGTCCCCCCAAAGCCTCATGCAGTCTTAGGTGGGGCTTTTACAGAGGTAGCTGAATCTAAGATTAAAAGTGGGTAATTACTAAATTGGTTCACTGATTGGCTTCATACTGCCCTAGTAATCCCAGTAGCCTAGATGGATTATAAAAGGGGCAGAAAAAAGCTTCTAAGGGTCTTTGCTTGCTCTGCTACCTTCTACCTACCATGAATTGTTTCTCCTCTGCAATGCCCCTCTGTCATGCCACCCTGCCTTGGAGCCAGATGATTATGGACTGAAATCTCTACAAACTGTGAACTAAATAAACCTTTCCTCCTTTAACTTTGGGTGTTGGGTATTTTGTCTCAGCAACGAGAAAAGTAACTAAGAGGTTCACTACCTAAATACCTCTGTTGAGAAATGATACCAAAGTACAAACTGATGAGCAGCCCTCCTTCTGGGAGGCGGCTGTGTGTGGCCTGAGGTAATAGAGGAGGGGTCCAGGCCCATGGGCCTCTTTCACAGATGACAGTACACACACATCTAACACCCCTCAAGTTCACAGCAGCACCCACCCACAGGAGCACACAGAGCCCCCTTCTTTACAGATGACCTTGAGGCACCCCCCCAGGCTTTGCCAACAGGCACGGGGGTCTCCCAGCTCCACCAGCCCCACCAACTACTCTGTTGGGTTCCCAGCTTCCTCCCTGCAAACATGACACAGAGCTGATTTCTCAGGCCTGAATACTCCCTCCCTCGTTTGCCCTCACTCTGATGGGTGGGCCATCCACTGGCTTTGCCTCCTAGTATGTGCCAGTGTCATCCTCCCTTTTTAAATTCCTGCAAAGGTAGGAAGAGGCGATTTCAATATACTGAAATTCAAACTTGGGCTGAGGAGCTGCCTACCTCTGTACATAGAGATTAAGCCAGGGTACAGCTGAAAGGACTTCTGTCCCTGTGTTGCTGTCACTGTCATAGTCACAGCTGTCACACAGGAAAGTTCCACAGAGGCAAGGCAGGTCTGTCATCCCCCCTCTCCTTGACCTAGCCTTGGCCTTGGCAAACCCTCTGTTCTAGAAACCGTATTATAGTTGCTATCTGCAGCTCATGTTTTCCTGCCCTGTTCTCCCTGACACCATGCTGTGACCTGGCTGTGTGGAGATTTTCACAGCAAAGGAAATACGTGGCTCTGCATCTCAGGGCTGTGTGATGGAGCTGGGAGCTACCTGGTAACGGCGGCTTCCAGGGACAATGTCCCCTCCCCTTCTGAGGGCTAAATTTGGGTGGACAAAGAGTGCTTTCAAACAGCAGCTTCTAACAGAGAAATACACTCTGCTCTGCATCTTCCGGAGGACCATCCCACATATACTACAAAACATTTTAATGCAAATACTTTTTATGCAGAATAATCAGATTCTCAGTCACTGTGGACAGAGACACTAACTCCTTCACCATCTGTGACCACACACAAGCACCATGGCACCTAATGAACCAGCAGTAGGCAGCCCCACAGTGAGCACTTGGGATGTACTGGGCACAAAGGCAGGGTGTACCTGGCCTCGTGCCCGTCACTAATGTGTAAACACTAAGGAGAGTCAGGAAACTTGAGCCTGCGATGCTGTGAGAACCTGACATCTGGACCTGGACAAAGCAGCACACAGCAGAGCAGATGCCACCACTGACACAGTCAGCCTGCCCCAAAGGGTCCACGGGAAACCAGGACGCGACCCAGCCCCGGGCTCATAAGTCACACCACCACTGCTCCACACACAGAGCCACTGCCCTCTCGGGAGAGCTGGAGACAACGCCGGTACCTCTCCCACCATGCTTCCCCAGACCTGCCCAGGGACACCCCGACACAAGCAAGGTAATGGGGTTCTTGTCCTTAGGAAAGGAGGGGCTCAAGGTTGTTGCTGCAACAAGAAGGCAGAGTCTGAATCCCAGATTGCTTGACCATGGGCAGCAGCAGGCTGAGCCTCTGGGGTCTCTCAGCCCCATCCAACTGGAAGCTGAGCTCCACACCATACAGAAGGCAAATTTCTCACAGGTGCTCACCGGTTCATCTCAGTTACATCTGCTCCACCAGACAGAGCCCCCAGGCATACTGCGCTCACACTCAGGGTTCGGGCATGCCTGGGCAAATGCCAGCCCTCACAAGGAAGGAAACTGCAGAGTGAGCAGGATGCAGAGACTCTGACTCCAAGTACTCTGGGAAAGGCGTGCAGAGCAGACACCGACGCTCATCCAGAACAGAACATGAAGCAAGGGACAGAGAGGGAGCAGCATCTTCCACGCTGCGTAACGAGGCACATGCTCAAGAGCTGAGAGGACTTCTGTGTTCATTTCTCAGGTAGCTAATTACGTACTTCTCAAAGTAGGCATTGTTATCTTTCATCTCTATTTATTTTCATAAATATTAAAATTAATTTTTGAATAGTTACCTAAATCACTTACTGAACCTGCAATATCCGTCTTAGGCAATTCAACCACCACCTAAAAATGGAACATTGAAAATGAAGTGACATCACTTTTAATTATGATATCATTTAAGCAAAGAATAGCTCAGTTAAGACAGGACATTATATTAAGTCCTAAAAATTTCAATTGCTCCAGAAAAAAGACTGGCCATTAACTTTAGGGCTAATGTTTTAAATCTTATTAATTCATCTACTTTGATCTCTCTTCACTCCTCACTCCTCGCCCCAATAGACAGATCTCCCCCCACAGGAAGAGCCCTCATCTCAGCCCTGACCCTAGCACCATGTTCCTGTTTTACCACCCAGAGGCCTACAGGAGGGGCCCTGAACTTGCTATGTGTGAAGGTCTATATCCCCACTTCCCAGAACCAGCATACTCAGCCTGCTCTGGATCTCCCATGTTAGAGGACTGCATCACTGTCTGACTCCTTCCCTGAGCCCTTCCCAAGACACAGGTGCTTTTCCCTCCCCAGCCTGGGCGCCTGACTTACCCACACATTGAGAACCCCACTCTCGTCCAAGGAAGCAATGTGGAATGACAAACCTGATGCTCCTAATGAAAGCAGAAATGAAAGGAAAGAAGTGGCATTAAACGAGGAAGTCACATCTCATCTCTGCGGAGCAAGGACTTGAGGAGGGACGGACCCTGTACCTTCCGGAGTAGAAAAGGGCGAAAGCACAAAGCTCTGCTTCCTGCTTGGAGTTGTGCAGATGGGCTCTACCGCCTGAAGAGGACTCTGGTGGTTTACAGACATCAGGACTCCATCTGGAGAGTAAAATCCACAGCACCCACAGGTAAGTAATACACCTCAGAAATGCGACTCATACTTGATGTGCACAAATACAGATGGCTGTGGGTCTAAAAGCCCCAAATAAATGACCTTGGACCTTGTTTTCAGCACTATAGGGAAATGGGGACAACAAACCTCAAATACCTGTGAAAAGAGAAACACGCACTAAAGCTTATACACCCTCCTATAGCTACTGCCATCACTGCTGACCAAGGGTCAAAAGGCAGGGGACAGAGGTCAAGACAGGCCAATCAAAAGATTGTCTTAAAGACTGAGGAAGCTCACACAGAACCACTTCAGAAAGGGAAACCTTACTCGGAGGCCAGAGTCCCATGGTCCCCTCACAGCTGGGGGAAGGTTTGGAAAGTGAAGGAATACAGGACAGTGTCTCAGAGCAGCACCAGCCTAGGAGAGGAGTGAAATCAGACATTGGCAAAAACAAGGTTAATAGAGCTGAGTGTGGCGGTATGCACACCTGCAATCTGGCACTCAGCAGACACGGGTGCTGAGGCGGAAGAATCTCAAATTTGATTCCTACCTGGGCAACTTACGGACTTAGTGAGACCCTGTTTCAAAATAAGAAATAAAGAATGGTTGGAGATGTAGCTCAGTGTGCAAGCCCTGAGTTTAACCCCCCAGTACCACAAAAAAACAAAAAGACAAGGCTAAGGGACATACCAACTCAGCAACCACTACCACAAGAGCAATACTCTCCATTACAGAAGTGTATCTTGACACAGCAAAGCTCTTTGATGTAGGGTATCCATCTACAGAATACCTAGGAGTAGAAGTCAGACTCCATACACAGATACTGAGATACAAATCGAAGGGTTTCAGCTGATGAAAATTCTCACTGCCCCCCCAAATACAAGCATGAAACAGAAGACAACCCAAGCTCAATATTCTGCAACTGAAGCACTTTAAAATCAAACCAAATAAAAATACCTAATCAGAAATCAAGGAAAGATATAGACCCCCCCAAAAAAGGCAAGAAATAAAATGACAGCTGGGGTGTGGGTTGGTGGTGAGTGATTACCTAACATGCATGAGGCACCAGGTTCAATCCCAGCAGAAATAAAACCAAAAAACCTTAATAAGAAAACAATTCAGGCCCACCACCCCTCTGCCGTGGAGGAGCTGCTCGGGAGGGGAAAAGCCCCAGCCGTCACCTCTCTGCCATCAAGGGAGCCTCAATCCAGAGAGTGTGGTGCCTGGCCCATTCCCCCACACTGTGGAGGAAGTGCCCAGGACACGAGAAAAGGCTCATCCAGAGGAACCCAGGGTAAATCCCCTCTCACAAGGGAAAACACTTTGCATACAAACTCCTCCTAATTTATGATCTGTTCTGTTATGTAACTATAGAATTTGCTCCTATGGTCTAATGTACAAAATTAACAGTTACCACAGTTTGTCAGTTTCTAAATTATGCTTGATGCTATCATTATTGATAATTGTACTACTGTAGCTACAATATTATATCTGTTGTAATCAGTTGTTCTCCCTGGTGTAACAGTATTGGGAAGCTCTAGGGTAATAACCTCACCATAGCCTTACACCAAAAGACTGAGCATTGAGCCAAACAGAAACTGACATCCTACTTAATTAATTGGGAAGGTAGGATCGTGGGACAGACACAAACTAAGAATCTCCTACACACAGAAGATATCTCTGAAGTACAGACTTTTGCTAGCGAGGCCTTGGTACTAGTGATATAGTGACTTAGTACCAAAACTCACAAAGATTATCACAGAAAAAAATAAAAATTTTTTGAAATATAAAATCTCAAGATGAAGGAGCAAAATGCACTCTCAGACCTCCAGCCTACCCAGAACAAGTCCATCAGACATTGACATAGAAGAAATTGAAAGTCACACACCTGAAATTTCTGAAATGACAGCAACTGAAGTAAAGAAACAACTCCATCAAGCTATAGAGGAAATCAGATCAGAAATAATCTTTCAGGGGCCAGGCATGGTGGCACATGCCTGTA